AAGAAGCGGCTGACGCTGGCCGCGCTCCTCTACCTGCTCTTCATGACCGGGGAGCTCATAGGTGAGTCCGGGGCTTTGGGTTGATGCCGGCCTGGCAGCCAGCGACGCTGCCCCGGCCTGGGTTTTACATGTTTGCTCAGAGAAACCGTCTGTCATTTCGAGAGATCGGCCGCCAGCTCGGAGAGTGAGAAGCAGCAAAGTCCACCGGTATTTTCCGTGCACGAAAATAAACAGGAATTTGCAATTTCCATTAGCTGAATCTCACCAATCCCCCCGAATGGCATAAAATGCACATTTTTGTGCATCTAGTGGCATTTTATTTCTCCTTGTAAGTTCCTCTTACAAGTTTGTAAGGTGGTTTTAGCAAGGGAGAAGCAGCATTGTATTACAGACATAAATAAAAGAAGATGAACAATTTAATCCTCAGTATTTTTCAATTACTGCCGTAAAATCTTGCTGTGTTTGCAATGAGAGAAGAAGAGGGAAATACAGTTTCGAAGGGTGACATATACCATGATAACAAAGCTCCAGTGTTAGGGGGTATTTGTCCTTATTCAGGACTGAAAAGACAAATCCTGAGCTATCAGTAACAACCCAGTGAAGAAGTCACTCTCTTCTCAACTTCCTGATGTCCTGCTGTGCTCTGGACTAGCATGTGCTCCATCCAGACATAAATCTTATGATCAAAGTCAATTAAAATAAGTATTTTAACACTTCCCGTTACAACACATAACAATACCAAGTAGCTTGCTTAAATCCTTCGTGTTTTTTCTTTGTACTCGGTAGAAGTATGGTGGATTTTCACCTGGAGATTTTTTCTATGTACGCATCTGATCGTTGTTGTCAGAAGAGTGAATCAGGTGCTCAAGTTCAGCTTTTGTTGCTTGCTCATAAAGACCTGCTGTCACGTGCTGTTCAGGTTGAAGAGCACCTGTGTGTTAGACAGCAGTCTGTACAAAATCACTGTGCTGTGTTTAATAGGCTATAGCAGCATAAGCCTGAAATAAAATAAAATGTGAATGTCCCTTGGATGCATAGATGAGCTATGAAATGTTATACCTAATCCATTATCTAATAATATTTGCAAAGGATAGTATTTATCTTTTAATCGCTGTTCATTTATCAATATCAGTGTCCCATCACCGTCTGTCTTTTGGCTACGTCCACGCCATTCAGCACAAGTGTCTGCTTGGTGCCACTCAGCCTCCTGAAGGATGCTTAAACCCTCTCATCCACTTTCCCTTGATTTGAAGTAGCAAGGACCGTTACACAGTGCCAGTACATTGATGTGTACGTTGAGCCAGGTCTCTCTAGTAACTATAACAATTAATTCCTTTTAAATTGCTTTCATTTTAATATACAAGTCTAAATCAGAGCTAATCAGATGAATTATTTGCCATGATTCACCAGAATAAAAAAAACCAACAAACAAGTCCTCACAAAAACTTTCTGGAAGTAAAGAACAGAGGTGCCTTAAGTATGGTAACATGGGACCTACATCCTCCTCCTCAGCTATACAGATTTGGTCAGTAATGACTGCAGATCTGACATTCGCTCGTGTGAAGTGAGCTTGTGCTCTTGCATCACTTGTCATAGGACAGTAGTGAATTGTATCTTTCAGACACAAACTTCCACAACATGGATAGGGAGCCAAATCATTGCTTGAGTATAAATAATAGTTTGTCCCACATACACACAAAAAAATCCCTAGGCGCAACAGTCCATTTCTCAGAGACCGTAACGATAACTATATCTGTCCCGTCTTTATCTTGGGCCTTATTTCAGCAACATGGGTTAGTGGAAAAAAGTGGGTTTGTCCTTCACCATCTCTCAGTGTGTGGTTAGTCATTAACAGCACTGCCACAACACATCCGCTCATCACGGAGAAGGCACTTTGCATCAAACCTGTTGCAGGGATCTGGTTGAATTTGCCTCCTGGCTCTGTTTTTTCTCTGGTTGAGATTTTGGTTCGGCATGAACTTGGGTACATTTGATAAGCGACATAGTATTGTATCTCAGACATCCTTTAACATGAGAGTGATTGTATTCATATCAGAATTCTGTTATGTGTTACTAGTTCATCTGAAGGGCCCCTTACTGAATCATTTCTGAGCTGTTGGCAGCGTGATGCTGAATTCAATAGGAGCATATCTGCTGGGGGCTCCAGATCTGATTCACACTGTTGTAGACCTCTCCATAGCTAGTGCGGGGAGATCTCTAGACAGAAAAGGGTGGAAAGTAAAAATACTCTGTCATCACTGTCACATCATCTGTTGTTTCTCCCTTACAGCCAGGACTTCTGCAAGCTCAGCTCTGGGTGGTGGATTTGTCTGTACCAAGAGTTAGTACTGTAGTGTGGGCTCGTCCTGCTCGGGTTTATGTATGCTGTTACCAGCCCCATGTCGTTATCTGGGCACTGAGGCGGGCAGCACTAAGGGCCAGACCCATACAATATTGCGGCATCCAGCTTCCACAGAGAACAAATAGAGGACTTGTGTATCTCTCTAGTTCTGTGGATCTTGACCTGAATGACTTGTCGTAGGGCAAGTAATCAGCAGAAGAATGAGTAATTAAAGATGGAGCCCTCAAGTCCTGGGTTAGTGCTCTACCTGTTTAATTTATTTCACTCCAGCATTGTATTGTGTTCCATCTGGTTGGTTTCAAATTTTGGAACTTTTTGAATTGATCTGTAGCTCAGGTATTTGGAAAACTTTGTTTGATCACACAGGACATTTTAACTGACGTCTTTCTATGATCTTTGACAGATGAGAGTTTCCGAGAAAAAGGCAGGAGACCCCATCAGACAATTAATTTGTTCAGTAAAAATCTTTCTGCTGTCTGTTACCCATGTCAAGATGAAGGAAATCTTGTTTCAGCAGCTTTTTTTGTGAAATCTTGATTGGCATATTTTTCCCAAAGTATGACCAAGCTCATTACCCCAGCCCACCTCAGTGTTTGTTGTTTAATTTGATGAACAGTCCTTGTAAAAGTCAGATAACAACTTACACTGTGGGAACCACTTTGCATCAAGAAATGAAAAACGTATTGCAAGTCCTAGTTAGCTTTTCTGACAGGGTTTGGATGTTTTCAGCTATGTTTAGAGATTTCTAATTGATCGTCCATGAGCAGGATTGCTGTCCTTCATGGGTGACTGAAAATAGTCGTGAGCCATCAAGCTGTCTATTTGTAAAGGTTATAGATGTCTTTTTTTTCCAAGTTGCCAATCATGTTTAAACAGCCCTTAGGCAGTACCTTTAACCAAGCAATGAAACGATACATTTGGAAACAGAGAACCTTTGATTTCAGAATTTAATAAATCTCAATTATGTTTTTTTAATCCACATGCTGCATTATGATTAGCTTGAGTACCTGAATTCCTTCTTTATCATGTTATTTTTAAAGTCTTTAAAAGTGAGAGACTAGCTGAAATAAAATTGACTCATCTTGGACTGAAGTGATTCTCAAAATTAATATATATGAATTAACATATGTACTTTACATGATTGTACATGTAAACTACTGAATTGAATGTCCTTAGAAATTTTTGTTTCTTCTGTATTGACTGTAAAAGAGGCTGAGTTGCACATTTCTAAGTCATATTTGCTTGAATTATGTGAGAACACAAATTAATTCAGAAAGGAAAGGCATAACTCATTTTACTCAAAAAGCTGCTGAATTGCTGAATCTTAAAAACTCCTTATTTTTGAGCTGTGATGGCCTTTGGAAAATTTCAGCCTCAGAAGAATTTGACTTAGAAACTTATGAACAACTGAAGAAGGGGGATGGAGGAAAGGAACTGGTTGAAATGTGGTGTGTTTGGTAGTTACCCACAGCACAAGCAATAACTACAGTATCAGCCATGCTGCTTGTGTTTGGCTGGGGAGCAGAGTGTAGCCCTGTCTGCAGGTGTGTACATACAAATGCCCACAGCCATACACACGCACACATTTCATTACTAGGGTTGTGAATATCCCTTTGCTGTTTCCTCATGGTCAGCCCCTTCACTAAGACAGTTTTAATTGAATATGAAGAGACCTTTACTTGAAATGTTAGTTGGAGCCTCAAGCCTGCCAAATTGCACGCCAGCTGCATGCTTTGCTCAGTACAATTTACAGGCTGAATGACAATCTCAAGGTAAAAACTAAATCATACCTGAGCTGACACTAAAGATGTAATCTTTTCTGAGAAAATGGACTTACCTTCATGTATATGGAAGACAACGTAGCCTGTCCTTGATTCCCTTTTGGATAAGGGATGCTTAAAAGAGAGGCACATTGTTTAAATCTCTCACCCATCCAATAGTAGCATTAGCAATTGAGTTGGAACAAAGATATTAACCTTTGCTCTGAGGTTATTTGTCTCAATGCAGCTCATAATTACGAGAAAAAATTATGGTAATAAATAACAAAGAAAAACGCTGTGCAAGTGAAAGTCATTGTCCGCAATATATATCGGCAGAACTTAAACACCCCTGCCAGGACAGAGAATAATGAAGGTTAAAAGATAATGTAATAAAAATAAAAAAGGAGCAGGGTAAATTTCCTTGCTGTTCAGTCATTGGATTTCTGTCCCTGTTCCATAATGTCAAAATATTTAACAGATGTAGTTTAATAAAAGGATCAGCTGATTAAACACATAGGCAATAATATATATAGAAAAGATACAAAAGTCTTTTGGGCCTGATCCTGCAAATGTTATGATGCAGTTAGTCTCTGTGAGAATAACAGGGGTGAATCCTTTCTTGTTACTCTTAACAGAAAGCACGCTTCACTGCACTTGTAACTATCGTAGCTTTAAATTATAGCATGGCATTTTGATTGTAACGGCAAAACCCCCTGTTTAGTCATTATAAGAAGGGCTCTCGTATACTTTATGCACTGTTCTGAAAATAAATAACTGTAAGCTGTGCCAAGAAGATATTATCTAGAATCATTAATGTCATACGTCCTGACTTTTTCAACTTTGTTTTCAGGTGGCTATGTTGCTAACAGTCTAGCAATTATGACAGATGCACTTCATATGTTAACTGATCTTAGCGGTATTATTTTGACCCTGCTTGCTCTCTGGCTGTCTGCAAAATCTCCCACAAAGAGGTTCACTTTTGGATTTCATCGCTTAGGTATGTAGATACCAGCTTTTCCTATCAACAGAGTATTTTAAGCAACAACTATAAAGATCACGTAATTCTATAACAATAGGTAACTAGAAAGAGAGTAGCAGCAAACCTAAAAGTTGCTTTATGCTTAATAGCCTGACCCTAATGTCCTTTTACTGGCCATTGTGGATCTACTACATAGCTTGTATTGCCACAAGGGAATAGAAAATAAAAAAAAGTTTTTAAATTTTAAACCTCAGCCAAAAAATGAAGTTTGATGACAGAGTTTCACTTACTGGGAGCAGGGTAAGTCTCTCCATCTCTGTGGAACTACGACTTAGCAGATTCAGAGTTAAATTCTGAATGCTTGATTCATCTTCCATCTTAAAGAGGAAGGTTGGGGAATTCAGTACATGATAACACTGTGAATACGACTTCCTACAAATGAACCATGGCCTGAAAAGTTTAAGAAGGGTTCAGAGGAGGGAAGCTGTCCTCAGCAAGAGCAAGGGTGGATATGCATCTGTGTTTCACAGCCCATCCAGAGTTGCTGGGCTGTTGCATTACGTCAGGCCCCTGTGCACCTTTGTGCTTTGGAATTGAGGCTGTTGAGCAAAAGAGGGACACATTCTTTGGTCACTCACCGCTGTACCACTGTTACTGCTTGTATGACACACTGAGGAGCTTGTTAGTGCAGGAGCTGTACGTGTCAGTCAGTTGTTGTTCACAACAGATTAATGCCAGTGCCCAGGATTTATGAAGTCCCATTGACTTCAGTAGAATTACGACACTGGAAAAGTCCTATTCAATGTGAAAAATGACATCTTAATCCAGAACTAAAAAGTTCTGTAGTGCACATTATCAGAGAGCTCTGCCCTGCCAGAAGCCACTTAAATCAGTATTCCTCTTGTACTCCCCAAACCACACAAAGCAGAGGTCAAAATGTCCCATGGTTTGCAATACAGTAAGTTACTTAACCTCTGCCCGTTTTGGGCATCTGTAAAAAGAAGTATAAACAGAATTATGTACTAAACTTTGTAAGCGTGTTTTCAGGGTTCATTACTTCATGTTTGGAAACATAAGGATGATAAACGGTGTTTTCATGTGGTTGCTAACTGGATATAATAATTCATAATACACAGCTGCATATCCAGTAGACATTTTACCAAAAGCTTCAACCTTTATTTTTCATGAAATAGATAATTTCTAGTGTCACAGTTTGCTACCTCTGCTCTATACATTCTACAGCATATATTTTTCAAGGAATTTCAAGGTCTTGTGTAGTCATTTATTTGCAGTTCTTATTTTGGCTGCTAGAACAGCAGTAGAATTCAACAACTCCATCAGTCCTAGTCATTTGTCATCAGTTAGTCACTAATGCATGAATGCATAACTCTGTACACTAGCAAAGATCTTTGCGGCTTTAGCAAGGAAGCATTAACAATGCCAGCATTTCCCATTACAAACTTTTCTTTCAAGAAGTTTTAATTTTACGATAGGAGCTCCCCTGATACTGAAACCTGACCTTGCAGGTATGCCCCTGGCATTCGCTCGTACTCTCCAGAAGGAATTTTGCTAGCATTTATACAAACTTTAACCCTATTTAAAAATAATTTGAGTAGTTTATATGTCTTTGTAACTTTCCTAAAATCAGATAGTACATACATGGAACATGCCATGGCCTAGCTTAAAACAGGAGTTACTCCTAAGCAGATGAAAAGAAACTTATTTAACCATTAAAATCTTACTCAGTTCTGTAAATTTTCACTGACTCTTCAATTAATTAAATTGAGGTCTCCATAGCACTTTGTAAACACAAATCCCTGGGGATGCCTGCCACTTCACTTTCTGTATCTTTTTTTTCCCCATTATACTGCCAAGAAAAATACTGGCCAGACTGATCCAATGATGGCCCATGGACCGGATCTAGCCCATATAATTAGTCCATATTGCCCACCATCTTCTCCCTGGGGACCATCTTCTCCCTGGGAGAAGCTACAGGGAGCAGCTTCTCAGTTCTACAACAATTACTCCTCCTTTTCTGCTGCCCAGTGCCAGTAGGTGGTCAAACACTAGAACAGGTTGCGGAGTCTCCGCAGTTGGAAATACTCAAAACCCAACTTGACTCAGCCCTGAGCAACCTGCTATAGTTGACCCTGCTTCGAGCAGGACTACGCAGTCTCCAAGGGTTCCTTTCTACCTCAACCATTCTGTGTCAGTAGATGCAATAGGAGGAGGAGGACTAGAGCCTGAGGGCAGGGGGAAGAGTTTCTGTAGCTGCAGTGAGGAAGGGGAAGCCGGTAAAGACCCTGCAAGAAAGCCCCAAACCTCGATCTAGGCTCTGCAAGTACAGAAGATGGGATGGTTCAAAGTTACTCTGCACAGTTTTTTAAAGTCACATTTTTGAAATTTATTTGCCTGATTTTAGGCACCCAGTCTGAACGCCATTGCCTGAGGGCACGGTTTCACACATCAGTGAATGCTGGCAATGGAACAAAGCTGCTTCTAGGGTATATCCTTGCTGTAACACATTTTTCCAAATAACCTATATGTAAGAAGCTTGTCAGCAAATAATGTGAGCTCAACAATAGCTTGAATTTCATGAGAGAGATGTTAAAACACGACAGAATGTTAAAAATAGGGTACAGATTGAGCATCTGTCACAGGAAAAATGTGGAGCATTTGTTTAAAGTTGGAAATGTGTAAGAACGATCTCATTGCTGACCTGCTTTGCATTAAGTTTTAAGATAACTGGTACATACAGTAAGCATGAAAACATTCTAATGAACAGTGTTTCTGGTGCTCATTATCACTTTTGTTTGTGGTATGATGAATTTTCAAACTCGTTCCCATAAACATTGCATTGTAAAGACAACAGACCTATTAGTTGTCTAGTCAAATTCCAGGAAATTAGCACTAGTTTTCGTTTATTTGAATTCTTTTTGAATATATAATATGTACGCTCCATCCTCAGTTTTATTCCATTTTCAGTGGTGAAAAGGAAGCTGACAGATTCAGGAATGGGTTAGAAAAGTGAAGACAAAATAATGGAAATTACAGTCATGTCTAAAAAGGATTATATTCTTGAAGCCAATAATACTTCTGTTTCACCACCAAGTGGAGATACCTCCTTCTCAGCAAGGCACTGAGCAGATATTTAAACATCGATATGGAACCTGGCATTTTTCCATTGCTGCAGAGACAATGTTAGTAATGACAGAATCAGTCAGTCCACTGAGATAGCGCATAGTTCATTTCACAAGAAATGAAAGATCTCAGCACAAATCTACAATGCTGACATGACAATGACTGTGAAAGAAACTACAAGGAAAACGCTGGTTTTTGTTGCAGAAAACATGGGTTTAGATTGTAAAACCATAATATGTCATTTCTCTGGTAAATGCTGATGTGCTGTGGCTTCACAAATTTTTTAAAAAGCATTCTGGAAAACCTTCTAAGCAATGTATTATTTTTTTTAAAGGCTGTTGCCCTGAATAATCTGCCTGCTTTGTAAAGAACACTACCCCTTGCATGGATATTTCCAGGATTTTCATGTTGCTCTGAAATCAGCTGAGATTGTGACAGTTGCTTTTCAGAGCCTTGTTACTGCCTGGTAATGCTGGTGCTCCTCCAGGCATTGACACACTACCGAACAGCTGAATGCGTTGGTGTGAGTTTTTTCTCCCATGATGTTAAAACTCAGTGTATGGATCAAGTGATTTTTGCGATATTAAAATGCTTATATAGCTGCATGTTTTTTACTGTAGTATTCAATAAATGAAATTAAGGCAGTTCTGTCTTAGAAATGACACCTTCTGCAGTAACCGAAGTTGTACTACACATTGAAAGATTCAAAGCAGAGGGAGAAGTGAGGCAATTCTCTGATGAGTATTCTTAGAGCTATGGTACAGCAAAGAGCAGAATTTTGCCCTTACCAGGGAATAAATCAAGCCAACGTGTGGAACAAGCAGGAAGAGCAACCATTAAATTAATTCCAACTCTGATCTTTGAATTCACTCAGGAAGCCTAAGAACCTGGTGATCCATCTGGCAAGTGACAGTAATGAGCATTATGCATAATGATTACAGATTATTCAGGCATGGCTGCGGATTTACATGCAATACAATGGAGCTAACATTAAGGTTTTCCCAGTGCTTTTTGTAAAGCCCTGTATTAACTTGCTTATAACTGAGAATGTCTTTTAACTGGGCTGGGGTTTTCTCTGTCAGGTATCTTGCCTTTTTTTTTAAATTTCAGCTGCAACAGGGCAATCATTTTCAAAATATGAAGCTAGAGGGTGAAAGTATGTTTATGTTAAAAGGAATCTAGTGACCTGTAGCTGGACTCATCCTCCTCAGGTTTATGTATGCTATTACCAGCCCAATTTCATGACTTGGGTACTGAGGCAGACAGCACTAAGGCCCAGACCCATAAAATATTCAGGCCTATTTACCTCACATCAGAACAGCAGGAACCTTGTAGAGACCCATAAGCCCTGTCCACAGATGTAAATGGCAGCAGAAAGTGCAGGACAATGAAATACTAGGATTTTTTATTAACTTTCTAATTTTCTCATTATTTAGATGTATGTACCCTTTTGAAAGTCCCTGCTGATCAAATACGATTCCTACACTAAAATGTTGGTCATAACACTCTTACTTTTGTGAAATATGAGTATTTGGTAAACATTAGATAATGTTAAAACATCATATTACAGCAATACAGAAATTTACATAAAGCAATCCTTCATAGCTGAAATCTGCAATAAATAGCATGTATGTACATATATGTGAAGAAGCTTAGGAGTAATATGTCTGACAAGTTTGTACTATTCAGTTCCTTAATCTTTTTATAATTTTTTCTTCATCCTAAATACAAAAAGATATATAAAAGTAATTTCTAAATACAGCTTAATACTGTGGACACTTGAAATCAAGTTTTCTCTTATTTGTAGGTGGGCTGGTGATGTTTGAGATTACCTATCTTCCTCTCCCCTGGACAGACAGCCTTTGTCTGTGACTTCTCAGGCAAAAGTTCTGGGTTGTCTGAAGAAGTCACAGTCATTGCTCGTGCAGAAGTTTTCAGAGAAAACATAATTTGAGGGACGTACTGATAGGGAGGTGTGAAGGAGTAGATTAGAACAAACTCCATTTGTTAATCCTATTTTATGAGTGTTATTTACCGGACAAATTGTTAGTTGTGCATTAGGGTTACAATACACAATAAAGAATTAAAATAATAAGGTTATGTCTACATTCTAATTTGGAAATACAGTTAGATCTGAGACTCACTTTTGTAATGTTGTTTCCTTTCTGTTTGCAGAAGTATTGTCAGCCATCATTAGTGTATTGCTGGTCTATATCCTTATGGCATTCCTCTTGTATGAAGCTGTTCAAAGAACTATCCATATGGACTATGAAATAAATGGCGATATCATGCTGATTACAGCAGCCGTTGGTGTTGCAGTTAACTTAATGTAAGATCTGCCTTTCTCTCTGTTACCACTCATAAATGTATTTCTGAATAAGCTGCTAATTCATTCATGGCCTGTAACTTTCTCATGGGATGTAATTTTGCTGGACCTCTTGATTTTCATAAATAGGTCAAGAAATGGTACTGAGCATTTCTTTTTCAATTCTTTGGTTTAAAAGGAAAAAAAGCAACAAAAAACCCCACCCACCAAACCCTAAAGGCTGTTTCTTGGAGTGTTTTTCTTCTTTCACTTTCAGAATGGGTTTTTTGCTGAATCAATCTGGCCACCTTCACTCCCACTCCCATTCCCACCCTCACTCTCACGTACCTCAGTCGAACTCTCCTAACGCAGCCCACAGCAGTAGCCATGGTCACAGCAGCCTTGCCGTGAGAGCAGCATTTGTACATGCCCTTGGGGACCTGGTACAAAGTATCGGTGTGCTCGTAGCTGCATACATCATACGCTTTAAGGTAAGCAATGGCTAGTCTTCGAGGCAGGGTGGAATTTTTTTAATTTTAACTCAACTCTGGTGGTTAAATTAAAAAAAAACACTTTGTGATATTCTATTACAAGCTTCATACATTCACGCAAAATAAGCAAAGATTAACCCTATTATGTATTTTGTTACTATTCAAACAAAAAGAAAGATTCATGAAAGCTGGAGCTAGAAGTAACTGCATTTTCTGAGTCACATTTTTGTAAGTGAGCTTATTTTCATATATTCTTTAACACCTTGGAACTTCCCTTGCAGCCAGAATACAAGATTGCCGATCCTATATGTACATATGTATTCTCCATACTGGTGGTTTTGACAACAGTTCGAATTCTGTGTGACACAGGAGTTATTATTCTGGAAGGTAAGATCTGTGCACAGTCTGCAGTGTTTTACATGTTAAATACCAGTGAGTTTTGGCACTTGTTTGACATCACGATCACCATCTCTAACAAAGTGGATTGTGTCTGGAGACCTGTTTATCCTGCTGCTGCTTTAGTCTGTTTGTTCTTGATGGCTTATCTAAGTTGCAGCAGTCTTTAGGTGTCTTTGACCTCTACAGTGAAATGTACAGAACTTTCTTGTGTGTCTGCAGTGGCTGTCAGCTAAACTAAGTGAACACTTGCCCAGACTCAGTTCTACACTCTCGTTTCAATTACTTCTAAAGTTAAAGTGAATGTGAATGCATGTAAAAGGAGGAAGCAAGCTTAGGCCAAATCGCTGGACAGATGGGTCACGCCTCTCCTGTCTTCCCCTTTTCCACAAGTGCTGTTGTATTACTTGCGTGCTTCTACTGTTAGCATAGGGGAAGCTACAAGTAAAGCATGGTATAAAAAGGAAGAAGAAAAAGAAAAGGAAAGAAAAAGTTGATCATAAGCTGAAAAATATTAGCTCATATAGTGACTTAGAGGGAAAGATGCCAGCAACATTCTTTGCCTTATTATAACTAACATACCAACTGTTAATGCTTGATCTAGTACTTTTACCTCATCAGAGTGAAAATGTTAGGGATGGGAGAAAAATTCGAGGTTCTAGCTGCACCTTCCCATCTGTCTCATGTGAGCTATTATTGACTTGACTTTTATTATGTTATGAGGTTGAATCAGGGACCTCAAAATCTTCACTGTCAAGTGCTTTTGCTGTTGTTAAGGAGGAAAAAAAAAAAATCCAAAAAAATGGAAGTTCACCGTGAAGAAAAAAATGGTGAAATTTGCTTAAGAAACCTCAATTAGCCTTAAGACAAACAGCACAAATTATAAATTCTCTTGACATTGAGATCTGCCATGACATTTTAAAGGCCACAGAATTTGCAGAAGGCAGAATTAATTTTATCTCGTTTGGTATCACACAGGAGTTCCAAGGCATTTAAATGTGGATCGCATTAAGGAAGACTTGATGAAAATTGAAGATGTTTATTCTATAGAAGATTTAAATGTTTGGTCTCTCACTGCAGGAAAAACAACTGCCATAGTCCACTTGCAACTAGGTAAGCTGCTGTATAGCATAATTCTAGATTAAGTCTAACTGTAGAAAAAAGTGCCAATTTCTCTTCTTTGTTACTTAAGTTGAACCAGGAAAAAGCATTCTCGGGGAAAAAAAAAAAAACAAACCAAAATCTATTAACTATGATTTTGCACAGGGAAATATAGAACACATTAGCCCAGAAGGACACTGTGTAAGTGAAAATTGTGCAAAGAAAATATTTTCATACTGAAACATCCAGTACCAATTCTTTGGGTAGGAAAAAGAAAGAATTTCTCCTCAGAAATTCCCTTATTTTGTCCAGGGAAAGATAGGGGGAAGTTCTACTGTGGAACATTCTGACATATGAAAAATAAGTATGTTTTGCCAAAACATGTGCTGATTTAGACATCTAACAGTACTATGAATATTAATTTTTAGTAAGAAAGCTCAGTTTTGGGGTGGTGGTGGAGGGTGATGTCTAACACACAAAATTTTATCAAGATGTGATTCTAGTTAAAGGATATAGCCCTAAAAGCATAAAATAACATTTAGAGAGTACATAGTGACCACAGAACAATACTAAATTAATAAATGAATGAGCGTGAACAAAGATTATTCTTGTTGGTGACACTGTGTGATAAATTTTAGGACAGCTGGGTTGTCCAGGTTTCTTATTAAATTCAGTGAATTCTATTAATTATTTTCTTGATTTTCCCAGTTCCTGGTAGTTCATCTAAATGGGAGGAAGTTCAGTCCAAGGCCCGACACCTACTGCTGAACACATTTGGAATGTACAAGTGCTCTGTCCAGCTTCAGAGTTACAGGCAGGAAATCAGCAAAACCTGCACAAGTTGTCAGAGTTCCAGTGCCTAATTTCGTATGTTTTGGGAACTGCTGCCTTATTCTTTATCTTGTAGTCAAAGACTGAGAGCAATAAATGCAAAATGAAAATGATCAAACAGAAACCATTAATATGTGGCTTTGTACCATGTAACATGCAGCAGGGAGAACTGGTGCTGCAAAAGTGCAGTGGTTGCCCTACAGAACATGTATTTCACTCTCTCCCTTGAACTGGTTTATTCAATTTATTATGATTTTGAGACAAAGCTGTTTTCAGATTATTGTTTACAAACTGCAATGTGACTCTGCAGATACCTCACAAATTACAGTCCAATATTGTCCTTTAATAACTATGTACCACAAAGTACCTGCACTCCAAATGGAGCATCAAGTATTCAGTATTTCAATTAAAGTCTCTAATGCTGATCATGCCAGGGTTCCGTAATGTGTCATGATCCCTGAATTCACTATACAGTATTTTTGCAATAGTAATTTTCATACAGTATCTTAAACTATAATGCATACAGTGCTAGTTGAATTTTTTTGGAAACTGTCTCTTTGGAGACACTGCAAAATACAGAATTTACTGTACCCAGTCCAGAAAGTTAGCTTTAATCTGGGCATTCAGCGATCCAGACAGGAAGATCCTTGCCCAGACTTCTGGTATTTAACTAGAGACCCGACACTGGACCCAAAGTGTTTTAAGTGAGTTATCTTTAATGTATTTTAGAATAGGGTTTATACATTAGAAACAGGTTATTTATTTTACAAAGTTTTGACTTGTAAGATGAATTTATTATTAATAATCTTGAATGTCTAAACCAACATTTGATTCATATTAAAAGGCCAGTTGACTAGCATGCATTCTAATTATGATTAATAAATGTCCTGTAATTGATCTTTTTTCCATGATTGTTTTGTTTTAAAAGGAAAATCAAATCATAGAAACTATGCTTGATACATAGATACTCTCAAACACTATCTACAGTCATGCAAAATACATGTGTCTTCTAACAGGAAAGTGGGAAGCAGAAGTTTTAGATATGTACTGTTCCCTCAGTCACAGACCTCTGACTTTTTCATCTTTGCTTTGAGCGCAGTATGGCAGTGTCTTGACAGGAATGCCACTGCGATAGCAGTCCCTCACTACTTAGCTTTATGAATAAAGCAAAATCCCCACAAGCTCAGTAACCTAATGGTGTTGGACAACAATATCATAATATTGTGTTGGAGAACAATATCATAACAACCTACAGAGGTAGAAAGCCCTTTTATTATTTGTAGAGGGATCAGGCAATTTGAAAAGACTATTTATTCAACCTCAAAGTCCACAAAACTGAATTGCTTAGCCTCATGGTGGAATCACTGTACTTTGAAATGTACACAAGATAATAAAACCTGACACGAAGGTATCATACACCTCCAAGCTCAGTTACACCTGCTTCCGAAGCCACTTGCATTGAAGAAGCTAAGGGCAACAAGAATACGACCTGGAAAGTTCAGAAGACAGCAAGAACTTGGCTTCAAATATATTTTCTTATTCTGTACTTTGGTCTTTATGCAGAACTTCCACTGACATCAAAAGTAGTTCGGTGTGTGGATGAGAAAGGAAAATTTTTGCCCAGTAATGGATATTGTGATACTCAGCTGTGAATACTTAAGCTATTGTCTGTTTTGAAACTTGCTAGGGTTTCACATACTCATCAGGCTGATTTATACCTGCAATTGGTGGTAACAATCTTGGCTCCTTTTCTCCCGTTTTTTTGCGGTAGGGGTTCTCATGATGAATTTTTAGAGGTGAACACTGACAGCACAGTATTAATTTGGAGGAAGTGCACATAACACTGGATTATGTTTGTATCTGCTCTGGCAAGAAATGGGAACACTTGAGTACAGCATGGGAGCACATACAGCTCAGAGGCAAAGTAGCACTGTACTTGGGAAGTTAATGCCTCAATACAAACTATCATTAATTAAGCCATATCACAGTTCATGAAAAATGTGCATCCCATCCTTACAAGCTTACTGGAAAAAAAATACCACAAGCAAATAGGTATTTTGCACATAGTAATACTCAAATAGGTTTTAATTAAATTGGGGTTTACAGTTGCTGTAATTAGAAGTTGAAGTACAGTAGACATGTATTGTATTTGGAGTTTTTTATTGTAATAATTTACTACACATTTGTTTAATTGAAGAAAAAAGCAGAAATGTGTTGCTTTATTGTGGGTTTTATTAAATCAATTATTAAACTTCACATTGTTGTCTTATAAAATATTTATTTGTATTGCTGTCTCTTGTCATCATCTTTGATTCTTACAGCAGCTGTTTTTTGAAGTGTCTGAACACTCAAGCTTAACTCAGTTTGGAGATGCTATATAAAGAATGAATTATGTCTCCCTCTTTAGTCAGAACAATCTAAGTCTTGTTATTTGCCATGCAATAATTGCACTTCAGAAAATATAAGCTGACAAAGTATGGTGAACGGGCAGCTATAAAATAACTGGCAAAACATTTTTGAAACTGTACATTCACCTTGAGGGGCCCTTGTTATCAAGGGCTATAGACTGGAAGGAGTTCAAAGAAAAAGCAACAGAAGATGAAATGAGAATCAAGAATAAAAGAATCAATGCATCTGTCTCAGGGAGACTCTGAAGTGTACATGCCGTTTTAAGGTCTAACTAAATTCACTTGGAAGTTTATACCTGTGTGACCTACCTCTAATCCTTTTCTTTATAAATTATTCTGGGCACAGGTTGTCTGGTATGGCTATGTATAATGTAAGAATCCAGTATTCTTATGAATCTCCTATTAACATCAAAAGCAATACACATATTATCACTTATAATACTCCTAGAGATGGAATAAATGAACACAACAGAACTGTAAAAATAACCAGGTATAAATAATTAGTACACTTACTTATAAGGATAGAGAAATATTCAGAAAATAACACTGATTTGCAAATAGACTCCTGGGAGTTTATTACCTAATACACAGTAACAGTACTCAGGCAGCGCAAGTACCTATAAAAGAAGACAAGTTATTTTTCTAGACATCGCAAGGTCATTTTCAGTACTAGCTTAGAGGAAAGGGGCCTTAGTTTAAATAAGAATCAGGTCTAATGTCTTTCCAAGCAGCTCTCCAGCACATCCAGATTATTTCATTTACACATGCTACTCTTTTCCTTCTACAAAATCCTCTGCTTGAAATTAAAATGCATTTACTTAGTGGGATTTCTCTCTCACCAAGAGACTCATAAGATTCGAGCAAGTTTCCACAACTAGTGTCCGTGCTTTCCAGACCTGTGCTGCAATACTCTTGCTGACTGGACAGCTAAAATCCTGTGAAAATTCTGCCACCTCTAACAGTCTATGTTGGGAAGAGATTTTTCCTTTCTTAATCTGTGATTGTCACCCGTCCTTTTCTGAAGCATGGATACAGTTTTGATAACCTACTCATATGAGTCAATAACGCATTTTTATATCGAGCAGACTGCAAAGCCTTACATCCCACTCTTATATTCTGAAAAGTTCTTATCCTACAAAGAAAATGAACAGAAACCTATTTTATTTCTGAATGTTTTCCTTGCCTAAGTTTGTGAGGTTTTTTGTTTGGTTTGTTTTTTAAATTGTGTTGACATTTAGTCCTTTCAATTCCAGCAGCATTTCTTTCTACACCAGCAGAATTACCATTTAAAATATCACACTTGAATCCGGTCTTCAATTATTTTACTACTGTACACACCTGCTATTTCTTGTGGAATCACTCCCAGTTGGCAGAATGACTAAGAAAAGCAGCAGGCTGGCATTTAAAAGCAGCTTTCTGACAAAACCCCAAAACCCAAAAGATACCCACCAACTAATGAGCAGGAAGTCTTTTGTTCAGGTATTTTGGCAGAACCTCATGAGGATTCTGCACCAATGCTGCATAGAGCAGGGCTGTTAAGTATTACTTCTCTACAGATACTGAAAGAATATCATAAATTAAGATAGGCTGTTGGGTCATTAGACATGGTATGTACTGCAGTAGCTTCCTAGACTCCAATAAGCTAGTCCATTGTCAGAGAAGTTCCCTTGAAATCTCAATGGGAGGGGACAATCCACTATAAATACACAGCTCATTTCCCTCTATTTATCCAAAATGACATCGCCAAGATCTTGTTTTCTTGCTGGTTGCTCCAAGCCCATTCAGTTGTTCCAGGAGTTAGCACACCTAGTTCAAATGACATGTTTCATCAGCATTTTGCATTATGCCACTGCTCTCTGCTTCTCTCACTTTGTTTTCTTGCAATACTCTACACGCTCCACATCTTCACTAATAATGTCCAGCTTGGACCCTGTACACCTGCTGCTTATATGGTCCCTAGGAGCTTCTCATGCAGCACTGGGTCTGAAACACCCCCAAACAACTTGCAAGGCCTGTTCTATTCAAATATATGCTTCCCCAAAGTCCATTTCGTCTTTGATGTTTAGATTAAAAAAATCTTCTAGCCACCAAGTTGCTAACTAATAAGGAAGCCCTAATCTGAAAGCCTCTGAATTCTCTACCTTAAAAATAAATAAAACAAATGTCCTCCACCTTTCCCACCCTTAATCCCCTTTCCAGCCTCACACCATCCTCCCACTCCTTGTAACAAATCATGCTGGGCACTAACCAACACTCTCTGTGCTCTGGAGCTGGCAAATCCCCTTCTGTTCAACTCTTCTCATTCCATTTTCCATGGCTGAATGTGCTGGGAAGGACCATACGTGCTCTTTTGTTCTGTGAAATATCTGACACAACTTTGGAAGCTGCTGGAACAAATACTAATCCTTTCCATTTACTGCTATCCAGCTATCACAGCAACCTGTTCTTAGAATGCACGTGTACCTGGCTTCTAAGTTTACAGCTGTAACATAATGGTATCCAAATCAATACTTTTGCTCTTTTATCTCTATTTTCCTTTTGCCGTTGTGTTCTGCTTTTTTCTCTCAGTATCACACACTCTGAAAACTGCCAGTGCTAAATGTACGGGACAAAATAACTTAATTGCTTTTATTACAGTTATGTAGCATTTACACCTTTTATGGCATCAATTTCTGTAGAAAAAATAAGCCATTTCATAAACAAGGATAGTTTTATCCATATGATGTCTGCTTTATAGTTTCCTTACTACTATACCTGGTGAAAAAGATAAGCTGTTTTTCCAGGACCGTGGCTAGCCAGTACAAGAGGGTACATGAAAGCAGTTAATGCACTCTGTCCAGAGTGTGTTTACATTAAACTCAGTACTGATATATCCAGGGATTTTTGATTCAGCTGATGAATACATAAAAGCAGCCAGACGGCAAGCAGACAAAAAACTTGCTTTTGTCTCAGGTGCATTAGGAGCACCCAAGTCCCTGCACTCTTCCGAAAAATTCTTTTTCCCAAAACACGCACACAGAAATTACCTAATAAATCCCTAAATAAATTTATGAGATGTCAACGTATAAAAATAGCCATTCAATTCTAGTAACTGGCCTTT